GACCCATAAACAGGGGCTATAGTCACCGATGCAGCGGTTGTGAGTTCGAATCCTGCTCACGACCCTTTGCTGCAGGTCTCTCCCCCTTTCCTGTGTATCTCTGCTGCTCTAAAATAAAGGCAAAAAGCACAAAAAATATATATATTTAAAAAAAGGAGGCAATAAAAGAAGAGTTTTGAAAAATACACTCTCACTCTTCTATTTCTTTTTCTGCTTTCCTTTAAGTGTGTGTTTTATTTTTTAAGGTCATTGCAGTTTTTCTGCTGCAGCGTATATTGGATTAACTACATGTGTGTGTGTGTGTGTTGAGGCATACAGATGGTTGCATAGTGTGTGGTGTGCTTGCGTGCGATTGTGTTGGGCGAATCTCGGGAGGTTTCTCTGTAGGTCACTGGGTCTTTATTAATCATCCCTGCAGTTGGGTAAATGGAGCTCGGCGCAGGTAGCATGCACGCACAATTTTAATTGTTGGGTTTCCGCCGGACTGCATGTCATGTCAGCTGGGGGAACAGAACTACAGAACTCTCGGTGTGTAGGTGTTGCGTGTCGGTAGTTTTTCCTATTTCCGCGTGCCCTCCCGTGTCCTTGCGTGTGCGTCACTCGCCTGTTTGTGTGGTCAGGTTGCGTATTGAGTTGTGGATCTGATCTCTTTTAATGAGTCTCTCCGGTGGAACCTGCGAGGAGCCGCTGATTCCATAAACGGGACTAATTCCTCTCTTCAGAGACGGCTCCCATGACTGTGTCTGAATATTTTTACACAGATAATGCTTTACAAGTTTAGCGGTAATATTGTGTTGCGTGTGGGTGTTTGCACTGTGCTCCTGATCTGTGTTTAATATCCTCCTGAGAGGCGTTTTCCTTCTAACAGGCCTAATTCCACCAGTTATGAGCTTAATAAGAAAAGCAGGTGTTGTTTTTACTCAGGTGAACTATTTATTTACATTCCTGTGTATTATGCATGACGAGTCTTTTACTCCCACTGCTGCATCTCCACAACGCCGAGTGTGTGTGTTTTTTTTTTTTTAGGTCGTTTTGTGCTCGTTTAGTTGCCAGATTCTAATTGCTGCAATTTTAGCTTAGGGCCATTTTTGTCTCTGCAATCCATCCCCGTCTTTTCCTCTGCCCGTTTGAATGTCTCAACATTTATGCTCGCCAAATGCAAATCAAAGCAGTCCTGAAGGCACAAGGCTTGTTTAACAATTAAGGACTAAACATGCATTTTTCTGTTTGAAGACACGAACCGGTTTAGATCGTTCACATCCCCCCCACCCCGCGCCGATTTGTTCACCTAGTCTGATTTCCACAAAATGCTGAACGCTGCAAAGAGGAAGAGAGCAAAAACACAAAAACTGCCTGTTTATCAAATCATTTTTAACATGTCTTTTTAAAGACGTTTCGACGTTGCAGTTCTCGCATCTGTGCCCTCTGGCAAAATTAGATTTGCTGTTTTGCAGCTTGTGTTTTTGGACATTTGATTGCTCGCAGCCCTCTAATTTCATTCTGATGTTTGGCTGTTGTTTTGTTTCCTCCACACAGAACAGGGTGCATTTTTTACAATATAGCAAAGCTTTGATTATAGGAATAATCAGCGACGTGGCTGCATCTGATCTGTGCGTCTTCCAATGTGCGGCCCTGATTGGTTAAATTGGCGAAAATCGTCGCAGCACCAATCAGATTGCTTCGCTCAAATTATCTGTGTAATTTGTGTAAATCCGCCTAGTCTTAAAATTATGGTAATGATAATAATAAAGTTTATTTATATAGTATTTATATAGCAATTACACTCTGCGTGCAGCTCCCACTGGGTAAAATTAAACTGGAGCTGAGACAAGCCGAAGTGGAGTTGTGAAAGATGAGTATGTAAAGTGCTGGTGTTGGTCTGCTAACATGCTGATTTCCCTCACAGTCATGTTTTTACCCCGAATGCAGCCGTGCGCGACTTCTAGCAGAAAACCAGCCTGTTCGGGTGTCGCGATCTCAGCAGAGCACGCCAAGCAAATGAGCTGATTACATATTGAAACTGTTTTAATTCAGGCGGCGCTTCTGTGTCGGATGTTTGAGTGCAGATCAGAACTTTGGAGACACAACGGAAAACTGTGATGAAGACGAAGCTGTGGAAGGCATAATTACAACTTATACTGGAGACGTTTAGTCATCTTATCGTATGTAATTAAAACTGAAAGGACTTTGGGTTGAAACTGTGTTTTAAAGCGGTGGCCTTAGATCGGATCATGCTCTGTTGTTCTCTGGTAAAAACACAAAAACACAGTATAACCAGCAAGTAAATGCTGTTTTTTTCATCACAATAAGAACATTTATGTTTAAAGGAGAGAAAAACAACTTTTAGACTAAATGAAAGTCCTGTTTGGTCACCCAGAAACTTTAGAAACTTTTCACTGTTTCAAATAAAGTCGTCTTTAGACTGAATGTAATCACTGACTAGAACAACAGTAATAATCCATGTGCGTCCACGATGTTGTATAAAGAACATTGTTATCCTGCTGAGATCATCTCATTCCAGTCGGCACTGTGTCCTTGACTCCGCCGGTTCGGTGGCCCGAGTGCGTTACATCTGCAGCCGTTCTGTACGCTGCTCAGCTCCTGCATCCACACTGTTCAGTACATTGCATTCCAGTCTCTTGCATTGACATTTTCATTATTCAACCTTGATCTTTTCTTGTCCTCAACCAAGTTTCCTAAACAAAATTATAGACATCTTAGTCATGATTTATTAGCGGTGGATATCGTAGCCGGAATACAAATGTAAGACATCGGCGGTGAACAGTCTTGCGGACCGTGACCGAGCTCAGCCTGTCTGCTCTGATCTATTTTATTCTTGGGATTTATTGACATTCTGTTTGTTTGTTTGCTAAAGTTTGCGTTGTTATTTCTGCCAACACTCTATATTTTATTTAACCATGAAGTCCCTTTTTTTGAGGGAGACTCTCTGCCCCTGAGCTGCACTGTCTCTGCTTGCACCGCCAGAGTATATTCCCAACCTGTGAGAAGCACTGAGATGCGGGTAAAAAGCCAACATTATGGAGTGCATTTATTGCATCTAAAGCACAGCTGGGAACAGCGATTCTGCTGCTGGAGCATCAATGTTACGGCCGGCAGAGCAGCTCACCTCCCGGCAGCGTTTCAGCACCAGGAGGTGGAGCAGTGAGGAGTCAGAAATAATAAAATTTAAACTTTAAACAATCTGAGGGAGCAATCCGAGGCACGTAGTCTCACAACTTATCAAACTGCATAGCTGCACAAAAAAAAGGTAAACCTCCTACGTATCAAGCATGAGTGTTAGATGTGTTGTCTTGACATAATACTGTTGGTTGTTGCATCAACTTGATTTTGTCTTTACTTTTAACCGAACTCGTGTGTATTTGATTGAAAACTGAATTCAAATTGTACTAATTTATGAAATTGGCTCGATAACCAAAATTTTCTTCTCCATGGGTTCAAGATTTCAAGTCTACCGCCTTAAAGTGCCGGTTAGAATGGAGAATTAATGGGGATGGAGTTTGGACTATTATGATTCAAAGTCAAGGTGACATTTCGTCAAAGCAAAACAACTTTGGAAAATTGGAAGAAAAAATTGCCGGACAGTTTAGTTGTTGAAATAATTACTTTTTAAAATATCTAGTGCATGAGCAAAATCATGAAAAAAAGCTGAAAACTGCTGGAAAAAATCAATTTGAGGCAACTTAAAAAAAAAAAATACAGGTTTCAATGAAAAAAACAACAAAAGAAAATCTTGTATTCATAACGATCCTAATTTGGCTCAAAACTTTAAAAAAATCTCTTTAAAAAAACATGGAAAACCTTGTTGGAACTACTTATTGTTCATTAGAAATATACCTAAAAATGTGTGTTTATCTTTCCAGTTATTGAGGACTTGGTTAATGACTGTTGAGGAAAGCCGAGTTGTCCTAACTCCATATTTGATGAACACATTTTAATTAGAAGTTGTCATCATGTGAAAAGACTGATTTTTGTTGAGACCAAACACCTGTTTTTAGAGGCTCAACTAGCTAGAAGAAGAGCTAGCTTACATAAGTTTTCCTAATGGGGAAAAAAACAAGTTAAATGTACAAAACACCAAATTATTTGTAGTGACTTTTCATCTATGTAATATATGCATGAGCACACGTTTAGTCTGGAGGAAGCATCTTAGATTGTTTTTTGCACCATTTGTGTATTTTATTATCAAAATTGTGGTTGTGAGGACAGAAGGAGTCAATCATTGGTTTTTCATTTAAGATGTTCAACGATGTTAATAAATTGACTGAACTTGTTGAGGGGTTAAAAATGCTGCTGAAGTATCTAAATAAGATGTAAATGAATCTTGGGGAATATTGTACACTTTGCAAATCCACCTAAAACAAACACTTTCTTCTCACCCAATGTTTATTTTCCAAAAAGGTAAACCTGCAAACTCCGATCAACAAATTAGCTGCTCTTTAATGGTCTCACTTCTGGGGTTGAATATCTATTATATGCAGAGCAGCACATACATTACAGCCCTATGGCCTTTATTGTGCGCTAATTATATGCCATTATATAAACACAGCGTTCCTTCGGCCACGTCTGCACTGTGCTTCCTCGTCTAGCACAACAACACCGAGACGGATTCCTGCATATTTATTGCGCCTGATTGGGATTCTAATTGCAGTGTTGTACCTGAAAGGTAGTGGAGAAAATCGTCTTTTATGATGATGAGATTTCAATAAATCCTTCTTTGATTAATGGTCTAATTCTGCATTACAGGAAAATGATGAAAACGGTCCTCCACGCTCCTTAGAAATAAACCACAAGCCAGATTATTTCCCCTTTTAATGCGGTCATGTTTGCTCTTAGAGTGAGAACAGGATTTATTTTATTTTATTTTTTACTTTCGTGGCTCATTAAGATGAGTGAGTGCTCTTTCTTGATTGTTTGCACAACGAATGCTAACACTATTACTGGTATAATTCAGGGCTATAAAACTGCTTTCTTGTCTGCAGGTTGGATACGAGAACGCAGGGACGGTGGAGTTTTTGGTGGACAAACACGGCAAACACTACTTCATCGAAGTCAACTCCCGACTCCAGGTTGAACACACGGTCACCGAAGAAATCACCGAGTAAGTAGCAGATGTTTGCATACGCAGATGGAGGTAGGCTGGTGGGCAGCTGCATAATTGTGGCGGTTGTCCGCGGACAGATGTGCGGCTTCAAGGTTAGAAGGTTCCCGCTCGGAAAATTGGCTGAAGTAGAGAGGCATGGAGGTATGGAGGGGTGTGGACGGAGTCAAGAAAATAGGCGATGTTAAATATGTGAGGGACAAGAAAGAGAAGGGAGAATAACAGGGACGGATGGATGGAAAGCTGACAAGCACGAGGAGAAGCCAGAACAGGTGGAATCAGTGAAGAGAGAAGCCGAGAGATGAGGTCAGAGAGAGAGAGACGACAGGAACGAAGGAGAGAGATGAGAGGGAGACGGAGGATAATGAAAGATATAAATAGCATTCCGCTCTACTGATGACCTGTGAGATTTGCTCGGCTGAAACAACACAGATGGGTCTCCGACTGATACACAAGACACGAGCGCACACAAAAGCACACTGGTACAGGTGTAGCGGCCGTCCGCTCACGCCCGGCCCTCAATCTCTGCTGCACACACACACACACACAAAAAACCCAACGCTAATTCATATTGTAGCTTCTGCATAATTTGCTCAATTAGCGAATTGAGCTGACAGACTAACAAAGCAGAGCGATTAATGCAGCAAGTTATGAGGGAGTTTCGCGTGGAAACTAAAATCGGCCCGTTCCCATGGCAACGCAGCATGACTGACAACTTCATCTGTATTCTCTTCGCTATCTCGATCATCCTCTGCGCTATTGTTTGGCTTCTTTCATCTCTTCGGTCTTTCTTCCTTTTTTTTTTTTTTTGCTTTTTCTCTTTACTCAATAAAGCTCTTTGATCAACTTGAGATATTTGCATTGCAGCACGGTGAAGTTAAATCAACTCTGGATGAGGAGGAAAAAAAAACAAAAAATCTCATCGTTAGACATTCATCCTGGCCGTCATAAAGTCAAACAACCGCCCGCATCAACGACAGAAAAAAAAAAAAGTGTTTCTCTCAAATTTGTCATTTTGAATAAAACCGTCGGCTTTTAAGGAAATCATGTCAGTTAAATATTTGTGCTTGTCCTGAAGATGTGGCTAATGGGACAAATGTGACAGTCAGCAGTCACATCGTCAGTGCAGCTCGGTGAAGATTTGTTTGTTTTTGTTGGGCCACAGTTTTTAGATACATATTTTTTGGAAAGCATGGTAGCAAATGTGCAAATATAAAATCTAGTGTAGTATTTGGAAACAGGGGTATAGCTTATTGTAGTAAGGATCTGGTGCATTAAGAGCTGTAAAAACCGTTGTGCAACTTGGATGTTTTTCTGATTTACAGTGCAGATAAAAAGTGTTTACCCCCTCGCATGTTTTTTTTTTTCACTGTTATTACTTTTTTACATTTAATTTTTTGACTCAGTCACTTCATTTACATTTTAAATTATTATTATTTGACATTACTTTGTAGAAATCTGTTTTCACTTCGATGTGAAGGATTTTTTTTTTGTCAATTTTTGTTTAAAAGCCGAATTAAATTAACCATCAGTAAATGTTGAAAAGCATTAAAAAGGAAAACAAGTGGTGCTGATGCGTTAACAAGACTCTGAGTGTAACTGAGGCCTAACAGAAGTCTTGAATCCATTTTATTCCTCACTTAACGGTTTCAAAACAATTTTTTCTTCTCCCCTCCTTTGCTATGCATTATTAGTTTCCTATTGTTTTGCCAATAACTGTAATCGAGTGAGATTCTTAACAGGAATCTGCGTCGCTCCTTCTGCGAACGTGAAACACGGGTCTGCACATAAACATTCATAATAAAAGTACTCGCTGCCAGAAGCTCCTTCTAAGACTGGCACAAGTGTAATAATTTTAGAGGAAATGGCCACCGTTGCCTACTGTGCAAAAAGATAAAGACAATAAAACTGAAAGTGCTCTTTAATTAAAGCCACCGTTTCCAGCAGAGAACCGTGACCTCGGACTCCGAGGTGCTGAGTCTCATCCCGGCTGCTTCGCTGCAAACCTCCCCAGTGTGTGCTGAAGGTCACAGTCTGGTGAAGCCAGAACCACCACGGCATCTGCAAAAAGGCCATGGTTCTCTGCTGGAACATGGCGCATTGTTTCCTCTGGGTTGGTGAATGAGCCGGACAGATGGATTGGTGGTAAAACAGTTGTCGTGCTGGACTGGCGGTGAACAGGGAGCTCATGCAAAAGGCAAAGTTCTTGATTTACCAGTCAAGCCATGTTCCAAACCAGGAGCTCTGGAAAGAAAGAACGAGCTTGTGCATGCAAGTGGCCAAAATGAGTTTCCTCCAAAGCCAAAGGGAGGCTGGGCTCAGCTTTAGAGAAACTGTGAGGAGCCTCAACGCCCGGAGGGAGCTCCGAGTAGAATCGTTGCTCCTTTGTGTCTAAAGAAGCCAGCTAAGGTGGTTTGGTCATCCGATTAAGATGCCTCTAGGGTTCCTTCCTTTTGGAGGTTTTTCTGGGTAGCGTCCAACCGGGAGGAGACCTCAGGGGAGAGCCAGAACTCACTGGGGGGATTATATATCTCATCTGGCCTGGGAATGCCTCGGGATCCCCCAGGAGGAGCTGAAGAATGTTGCCGAGTAAAGGGACGTCTTGAATGACCTACTTAGCTGCTTTCACTGCAACCTGACTCTGGATAAGAGGAGGAAAATGGATGGGCATTATGTTTTCAGGTTGTCCATTTGTCTGCCTGCTTGACTGCACATTTGACCAAAATGTCAGCCTGGGCTATCTTCTGGAGCTTGACACTCTTTGACACCGACAAGGAATTTATTTAAATTTAACAGTAACTCAGAAGGATGAACTGATTAGAATTTGGAGGTCAAAGATCACTGTGGCCTCACAAGGTACATTTTTGGCCTCGACTGATCAATTCACATGCTCATTATGATAAAAAAAATTTCTGTCTAAGAGGAAAAAAATTAGGAGGTGATGACATTTTATATCCAAAAGGTCAAGTCTGGACAGAAACGGAGGCGACTTCACTGGCTTGGCAGAGACGTGCATCTGCAGGGCATTAATTCTACTTTCCATTTGTGTCAGGTTTTGGTTTCTTGCTTATTCTCATAATGATTTGCTTGTAGGAATTGTCTCCGTTGTTTCCCCCACTTCTTTACATTCATCTCGCCGTGTGAAAGATTAAAACGAGCGGAGTTATGTGGTGTTGGTTTTTAGGAGGCAATAACTTAGAAAGAAGATATTTATCCATCATAAATCATATATTTCATGCGCACAGAGCAGATATTGCTATAATGTAAACTTCCCAGGATTGCCTTTCTTTTCTATTACTGTTATTGAATGCGTTGTCACGTCGGATACATTAAAGAAAAAATGAAAAAAAAAAAATTGCTTAAAAGTGAGAATAAGGGACACCAAAGAACTCTGGTAATATCATAGTAATATTTTCATCTGCTTGCAACCCACCAGAGACTTTGGGCCGCATTATTCGCGAGAACACAATTATACAGGAAAGATCTTCGCTCCAAGTTGCGCGTCAGTGTTTCTTTATTCTGTCTTTGTGCCACCGCCGCTCCCACTTACCCCCCTGCTCCCCGTGAATTGACAGAAAGTCATTCTCATGTATTACAGATCTCCTCCAATCCAGCCGGGCACCAGTTTGTCACATCCACTTCATCCTGCAGAGGAAAAAAAAAAAACCTCACGTCACAGAGGAAAATTTGACATTTTGGGGAATTGGGGTCATTCGAATCGTCAGAGGAGTGCAGTAATTGCCTAAATCTGCATCCTGCGTGGAAACAGGACGTCGAAAGCTTCACCCGTCACGAGCTTTTATTTCAGGCCGGGGTTGAGCTCTAAGCGGCTGCAAATGACGGCCTGCGAGAGAGCAGGTCTCCGGCAAAGAAACCCGACGTTCATCCATCTAAATTGTAGGGGAAATGTGTTCTTTACAAGGGGAGTATTACATTTGAGTGCAAATGACAAGAGTGAAAACTGCATTGTGGTTTTATTTGAACATTATGTCCATTAGTCTTTGAGCTTTCCGTTTCGCTCGACTGCACTCCCAATCTCTGAGGTGTGTGAGCACATTCGTTCTTGTTTTTTTTTGTGCGTTTGAAACCGACTGTGTTGCTAATGGACTTGTCAGGGAGGTATTTTTTATACACAGTTGTAAAACTCCCCTTCCAAACTTGCTGTTCATTCCCTCCATCTCTCCTCCACACAGTCTCCATCACTTACATCTCTCCTTTTTAATTCCTTTTTTCATCAATCATTCTTCCTTATTCCCTCTTCAATTTGCCAACTTTCTCTTTTTCCAACCTGGCTGCAGTTGAGCCTTTGGCTTGATAATCTTTTTACCTTAATTCTGTCTCTGCGTGTGGCACATGCAATCAGATTTTTAAAACTTTTTTTGTAAGTAGCTCCCGTGGATTCTCAAACTTGAACTTGTTATTCATTCCTAACTCCTCCGTTTCATTATTCTCCCAGCTCTGCTTTGTTTGTGTATGTCGATTTGTTTTTCTGCCTTTGTTTTTCTTCACCTCTTGCTTCTCTTAGGCTTCAGCCCCGGCAGTGACACTGTAGAGGAGGGCTTTGTCTCTGGGTACAAGAAACAGATATTCAGCTTCCCAAATACGACTGACTTTGGGTGTCCCCTCTCTTTGTAGCGTTTCTCTGTTGGCACCAGCAGGTTGACGTTTTGGGTTCAGTGTAAAATAACTCAAAATTGGTCTCATGAGGAATCAGATGTTGTATTTTGGTTTTTGACCAAATGCCTGCAAAAGTACAGTCCCACAGCTATCCTATGCCCCGCTATCAGATCGATCAGACCACATCTGGCGGTTGCCTGGCTCACTCCCTGATCTGATTCTGCACAGTGTGGTCACAAAAATCCATCCAAACAACTTGAAAGCTCGAAGTCTTTCTCTTCCGTCTTGTCGAGCAAAAAAGCTACACTCCTCACTTACACCGACCCGGGGAGTTGCTAAAAAGGCCGGCGATCAAATGTCTCCATCCAGAGAACAGATCTAGA